AACCACCTGCTACTAGTGGTCTGCGTGATTGTCGATTTCACGATCACGGTCCCGGTCACGATCACGCGTGATCGTGCGTGATTGGAAACTTTTTTTGTCGTCGTGATCGTGATCGTGATCGTGATCGTAATCGTGATCGTGATCGTGATCGTGATCGTGATCGTGATCGAAACTAAAATTTCGTAAACCTAACTTTGGCGTATATACGCAAAATCTTCAATATTTATTCAGAAACACCATATTCACATTTAAACCATAAAATATCTGATAGTTCATCTTCTACTTATAAGAAAAACAAACAAAAAGAAAACACATAATTTAATGAAGAATAGTAATAAAACAAATCTGAGAAAAGTATGAAAACGATAATTAAAAAATCTCTTCATCTCGGTCACTTTCAGAATCAAGAAAACATTCATTTCCCTCTTGATTGTCGAAGAAATTAGTTTCTTTGTTCTTCTTTTGCATTGGTTCATCATTTAAAATAATTGTGTCACGTTTTCGTTTAGTATTTAAACTATCACTTGTTTCAGTAAATGCAACAGAAAATTTTTCTTTTAAAATATTCATATTCTTTTTCAAAAAGATTAATTTGTTCAACTTTTCGGAATCCAACTTGGTTCGTTTATCTGTGAAAGTATTCTTACATGCAGAAAATTGTCTCTCAACCGACGTATTCAATGCAGGAATAACTAATATATCACGAGCAATTGATGCAATTAATGGAAATGATTGTTTATGTTGTTTCCAAAATGAAAGTATGTCGTCTTTTTCATCACCTTCCATTACCAATGTGGATGCTAAATAATTCTCTAATTCTTTTTCAACATGATTCTTTTTCTGGTACTGAAGGTGGTTTGTCAAATACTTCCATTAATAAAATATCTCGTGCATCTAAAGAAACAGATTTTGTAACTGATGTGGAGGATATTGATGATGAACATGTGGATGAAATTGTTGATGATGTATTTGGTAAACCGGCGCCAGTTGATATAGTTGTAGATGAAAAACGGTCATGACGTTTAAACATTTCTTATTTTAATAAAAGTATTACACGTTCTTTCAAATGAGGACTTTTATGTAAATGTTTATTGTTTGGATGAAGTACTGCCGCAATAAGATGTTCATCGGTTAGTTCCAATTTTTCATCCAAACGTTTGCCTAAATATTAAAACATAATAAAATACTAAAAGATGTACGTTCATCATTTTTTTTACACTTCATACCCAAGAAGCATTTTACTTGTTTGAAATCTTCATTATCATCATTATCAATTTCACATTTGTTGATCAAATACTGTTTGAATGGTAACACACGATGGAGTGTCGGTCGTCGATCATCACTTAAAGCTTTAATAACTGTATCAAATAGTAATAAAAATCGGCATATATCAAGTAAAAAATCATCATTTATACGAGAATAAGTTGTTAATAATTTCGAATCTAGTATTTGAACTAATTCATCAAAAATACTTGAAAATACATTTAACATTGCATATGCTCCATTAAAACGTGTATCTGAGTATAAAATTAATTTTTTAGATAAGTTTTGTTGTTTATGTGATCGACG